GTTTGATGTTCCCTCTTGTAATATTTTCTTTATTCCTTTAGATGTTGTATCCCTTTTTTCATTATCTTTTGTACAAGAGTGTATTTTTTATCTTAGACCCAAGAATTCATTTATTTGTACGTCAAAAGTCTCGTCTTTGAAATTTCCAATCACTTTCTTATTTTGTTAATTTTTTCATTTATTTTAAATTTTTATTTATTTATTATCATATTTCAAATACAAATTACAGACATAATTAAAATTACTACACAAAAACAAGGAGGTTTGGCCAACAACAGCCTCGCAATTCCTCTTGTCAGCATTTTCATTATAATTGTTTTAAAACGATGTTAATTATATTAACAATAACGAAACATTAAAATTACTGTACAAAGTCACTATCACAATGAAGTTAAATACAGTTATTATTGGGAAAACTAATACAATAATTGTAATTATTACTGATGCAAAGTGAAAGAGAGAAACACCCAAGATAAGAGTGGAAAGTTTTTATTCCATTTCTTATAGAAAGTTCCCAAGTCTTTATTTCTTGAGGCAATGTATTTTTCTGTTTGATGATTAATTTTGACTTTTAGTTTGAAACTGTCTATATTTGGATGCGCATGCGTCCTTCTGCAATCCAAGATATGCATTTTTCCGATTAGAATGAAATAATTTAGTAAAGGGCATGACAGTGATGTAATACCTATTATGATATCTTGAAGGCTGAGAGCCATATCTTGTTTTGTTATTGCGAAATAATAATTTTCGAAATGTATCCGAAATATATTCGAGTAAGGGCAAAAGAAAAAGAGGTGGTGTAATGTTTCTGATTCTTTGTCTTTATCACTTTCTTATTGGTTTTGTCGAAATATGTTGAGTTTTCCGGGTAATCACTATTATATACACATCTCCGGTTTCGATTTCATATGTTAGACTGTCTGTGTCTGTAAAAATGCAATCTTGCTTTTCTTCTATACTTCTTTCTAATATAATTATAAAGGAAATCATCCATTTATGTCTAAAAAGATCAAGAATACACATATCTACATATGCCGGCGTTTAAGAGTGATTAATTCTTTGATCTTATGAACAGCTATAGATTCTCATGAAAAATTTGTGATGACACTTAAGTTGGCTTCGAGCTATATTTCTATAATTTTTGTTATCAGTTACAAGTTTAACGTTTACCCATTTGCGAATATTCTTTACAGTTTTTACCAAATACGCTGTTATCTATAATCTTTTACAAATGAATTTTTAGCGCTTGTTCTCTTGTTTGTGTCAAAATCTATGTACTGTTTCAGCCACGCCGACTGATTGCATCGTAATGCTCGATGAATCTCTTTAATCTAACCCCAAATCAAGATATCACTCTAGTTTTCTTCAAATAAGTACATACTTTTCTTTGTCATTTAATGATGGAACCAGCTTTTTGACTTGAGCCGTTGATATATTGTATTTGTGTCTTATTTCTTCACAATAATTTGAAAGCATGTCCTTTGTCACATCGATTTTTTCTGCTGCAAGTGGATAGTCATCGTTAATCTCATGTAACTCATCAGGATATTCAAGATCAACTTCCAATATTAAACCTTTTTCACTGCCTTCTGTGTGTTTTGCTAAGTTGATCTTTCTAATTTCTATGTCCCGTGCACCATTTAAATTTATCATTCGGTAAACATTGACTCATAGCCCAACCATACAGATTATCAGCATCGAGATACATGATATACTTTAACCCTTTAACTCCCAGAAGTGATTAACATAGAACTTCTCCCCAGAATATCCATACATTATCCCGCAAACAGGTATGGAGAAGACTCCAATTTATTTGGTAGAAGTTGTTATCTAAATCTAACACCTAATTCTCACATCTGGTTCACATGGAAATGTGTAGAAGTCAGAGGAGAGAATTAACAATCAGATCTTGGGAGTTAAAGGGTTAAGGACGCCTTCTCATCATATTTCTTCATGCATTTTTCATTTGCTTTCCCGTATCTGTTGGCTATGTATGAAATAACACCTCTCATTCCTTTTTCAACAAATTGAAACATATCCATATCTATCATTAGCTCCAGTTGGATGCTAGTGATTTTCAATATAGCATCCCCGAGACAGTCCAGGACTTGTAAAATAGTGGCAAGGATCTAGTTTATAATATTCACTGACACTGAAATAAAAAATTCTTAGTGGATCCATTGACACCCTCAGTTCAAGCAGGTCGCATTTTACTATGGTCTATTATGAATTGGTTGTCAAACAACGTGGAAGTTATGAAATTCATTTTAGAGACGCTTACAAAGGAGGTGCTGCAGATGTCACACTGAAAAAAAACATCACTGGGTCAAAGAAGCTGACACAACATCACGACTCTTGAGAATACAAGAGCTTATTGGGGTCAAATTCGTTCTAATTATTAGGGTTAACAATTCAATAACTCTTGAAATTTCCACAGCTGAACTAGATGGAATAAATAGCGGTATTTTTTTTTATTCCAAAAATTGGCTAAAAATTGTAATTTTTTAACTCAGTTCTATATAGCATATATGAAAAAAAATTGAAATGTTTTTTGATTTCAATCATATGGATAAAAACATTGATGAAAGTCAATTAGACGAGATTAAAACATTATAACGATTTTATGATAAAACAGTTTTTAGCTACATAGGAGAGCGTGCAAATATTTCAAAAAATTGAATTTAGCGTGTAATTTATTTTCAGCATGTCATGTTGAATACAATAGAAAGTGACGTGACACTCAACTCAACTGTATTAGGGACCATACCTGGAGCTGGTGTTTTACTTTAGACTAACGATGCAATAAAAAATTATAAGAAAAAAATCGCGCTATGTGGTTTAGCTTACACATCATATGACAAAATACTGGTTGATTTGCGATCGTTAATGAGAGTTAAGCTGTAAGATGAACTGGATTTTTTGACACATCTAAGGGTAGTTGATGATATTGTCAATGACATGTATGACAAATGGGATAAACAATATTCATAAAAATTTATCTCAAAACAATTGTTTTGATATCATCCGCAATTAGTTTTTGAATTCCACTCCAATATTTCTTGTAGAATTGTAATGTTCTTTTTGATTTGGATATTAGTATGCTTTTAGATTGTAATTTAATCATTTTGAATATTCGTTTTAGTATACAGCTAATATTTATCATCCGTTAGCGCTCACTACTAATTTGAGGTAATACACTCTCAATATTTTCAAAAATCTCTCATATCTTATTTTTAAAGTGGTCTGGTGCCGCCAACTACTATACTACAGAAGATAACATGACTTCATGCATGTTTGAAGCGTTTTGGCAAACTCTTTAGTGAAGTGTCGGCTCAAGGTTTATAATGAAGAATTTTAATAACCTAGCAGCGACGAACGGAAACGAAACTCAGAGTTAGGAATCCGTCACTGACTTCTATTACCTAGGATCTGCGGCAACTGGTCTTGGGACTTGCTTTTTCAATTAATCACGAAACTCTCAGACAATTCTAAGGGGGCAAAGGGTGTAGAGTTGAGCCGGGCCAGTCCAGTAGTCCAAAAGTTTCTGTTTCTTCACTACTGCGACGATACGTTTTCGGCCGGGACGGTAAAGTTTCCCTGTAATTTGTTGCGTGATCAACTGCCATCGATCATGGACAAAACCTTTCAACTTTCTATTGAGACTTCCGCATAGTCCTTATCCAGAGATACATTAAAATACCCGTTCTGAATAACGTTCGTGAGTGGTACAGCAGAGAAATAAAAGCAAGAACACTCTGGGGACAGATGAATATCGATATTCATCTAAAAGGTTAAGGCTGATGTTGTTCAGTTTGAAAGGATTTAGCGATAGGTGTCATAGTCTTTTCATATCTCAAAGGCCTCTTGTGGTGTGTTTTCGCCGGCTTTCGTCTAGGACTTCAATTGCATTGTTTTTTACATTGCTTCTTGCCGCCGCACAACATTTCGCAAATCCAGCAAATCGATCAGAACTGCTAAGTTGACTTTTCAAATTCTTTTCGTCGCCCATTGCGGTTTCAAAGTTGCAAGACAGACATCGTTCTTCCTCTACACGCTATAACTGACAGGAACTTACCGAATCTACCTCTACCCCTCTTATTTGGCTTCTGTCCAGCTTTCTTCCTGTTATATTTTCGACAAAGTTGATAGTCTTCAGGTTTGGCTCTGGAATACGGCTCATCCCGTACACAACGGCACAAAGAAGAAATATTAAACAGAGATGCATGTGTAGTCTTCCCCGTCAAAAGTTTAAGAGGAAGAAAATAAACGCTTGTTTTTAAATTTTTATTGCATAACTATGCTAGCAGATGCAAAAATGTTGTCCGATTTGAAGCATTATACGCAATACAATATGGTTTTTTTCAACATTACCGGTTAGTATCTGCCTGTTACTATATAGGTGTTAAATTTATTTCTAAATTGCACAAGGGTGCGATGTTTCCCCTTTTTTCAAGAAAACCCTATATTTGCGGAACGAGGATAAATTTATATCTTTCTTAATACGATGGGTCTAAAAGAAGCGTTAAACAAATTTGTATACTTTCTATGAAAGCCGCTTAACAAACAAAAGCGTTATTGAAATAGTAGTCTTGAAATACACTTTGCCTCCTGAGTGATTTAGTAAGAAATTTCAAAACGAGTCGAATTTTATCAAAGTTTAAATCAACACGCATTACTGCTCCCAACAAAAGTTTCAGTCTCTAAACATATCTTACATAGGATGTCATTTTCTTAAAGTTCATATTTTGGGATAAACTATAACGAATAAACACAAATGTTGAATTTAATAAAGCCCTCTAAGTCAGAGAGGTGCGGCAAATCTAAAAACTAACCAGCTTTTTCACATTGAGGGCCTTAAATTTGCCAATTTGACTATACCAGATGTCTTCCGGGCCTTCTACTCTTAACATTAACTACTGTTAGCTTTAATTAAAAATACTTTACGTCTATGATGGTACTCCACCATGAAACTGTGAAGCACAGCTTTTAGCACCATTTAGTTATTTTCTATTTGAAGGCTTCATTTTCATCTCGGTACGTTTCAGTGAGTATGAATTTCCTCTGAAAGAATTCCAAGAGACACCATCTGCGTACGAATCACTGAATGATCCTCCATGATATAAGCCGTTGAGGTTAGAATGGTGACAATACCTGTACCGCCAAGCTCCTGTGTACAACAGTGCACAGTTGTCAACGCTCAAGTCGTTGTCCACATCTTTCGTCGTAAACAACATCTTGCTATAATGAATCGTTCAAACAATTAGGCAATCAGTCAGTCATTTAGTCAATTAAACAATAAGTTTATCACTCAGTCAAATAATCAATCAATCAATCTGCTAATCCATCATCAGTCAGTCAAAAATTTATTTAGTCAGTCTCGTAATCACTAAGTCCAAAATCGTTTCAGTTACCTGTAATCATCCCATTAGTCAATTAGTTTATCAATTCTCTATAAACATGGAATTTTGGATTATATTTAGTTGCTCTTTGTGGTTACGATCTCATTTACCTTAAGGAATGTCTCCCAGCCATGCAGTCACCAGCGGTACCTCTGTAATCTCCAATCAGAAGCTGATACTTGTCAGCCTCGTCTGCCACCTTAAAAGTAGTGTACTCAGCGTAAGTGATGTTCCCTTCAAAGTCTTCCAAGTCAACTCTCAGCATGACGTCATCAGAGTATGTCAAACGGTGTATATTTTCGTTTCCAAGCCAGAACTCGCCACTCAGATTTCCAAAGCCGTTTTTGTAGGATTCCCATCCACGATAGAAGTCAACATAGCCGTCCAAACGTCTCTGAAAAACGGTCCAACCTCCACTTTCCGTTGTCATGTCACACAACACTTGGATTGAATTGCCACCATCTGGATTGATGGTATATACGCCACTGGAGTTCCAACCGTCTCGAAGCAGTTCGGCGCAGCTTTTGCTTTCTATAACAATAGAATAGTAGGAAAAAAGGAGTAAACGAAAAAAACGGAACCGAGGTTCTCGGTTCCTTAGGCAAGGAACCCATAGACATACAGCGAGTCAGCTCAAAATGTAGGGAAATGTTGTAAGTGCTTAACTGTTTGGCTCCTAGATGTCTCGCTGAACTTTTCTTTAGAAAGAGTGGCATTACTGAATACAGTCTCGGGGGATCCTCTATCCCACTGCAGTTGCCTTTATTAAAATAGATACTCTACCTACTGGAGTAGAAACTAATTTGTATTCCAACTGAAACAAAACTCGAAAAATATTCACCTTCATTTAGAAACCCATCGCCTTTATATCCATCCTTACACGAACAGCTGTATGACCTTTCAGAATTGTTACATATGGCGTTCACGTGACAGGCATGGTTCCCGTCTGTGCACTCGTCCAATATACAAAATGTCAACTTACCTTCAGCATTACTGATCGTTTGACTCAATGAAATTTTGTTTTGATGTTCCCCCTACAACCCGTGTTTGATCGGGAGTGTGCCTCGTGTTTTAACTTCGATGTGTTACTCATTAATTTAAAATGCTATAAAACTCTTCAAAAACTCTCTCTTTGAAAACCGATGAAGGAAGCGATCACCGGTTTATGTAGTAGGCAATGCCAAACTTATTACACTCATTCACCTGTTTCGCACTTGTCTCCAGTAAATCCCGGTGAACAAACGCAGAGATAGGTTTCGTGTTCAAAATCTGAATAACATCGTGAGTTTAGAGGACACTGAGCGGTACCGCATGGATTCTTTAATGAAATGCAAAAGAAAATATACGTAAATTAAACAAAAAGAACCAGCTTGTATTGGTTTTTCGCAAGATGTTCAGAAGACAAAGAGATCTTTACATGAATAAAGGTATCAAATAAAGAAAAGATGGAAATATTTCGTTGTTGATTGGTTAACGTTTCTAATTGAATGTGGAAAATTTTGCAAATATCATCCTACACGCAACCTCTTGGCAGGATAAAAATTTTAGCAGGAACTCACAGTTACTACATTTACATAACGTCTAACATGACCCAATCGGCTCTCCACGCACTGTAATATGACCATAAGTCACTGTCGTAACTTAGTTTTACAACTTGAAGCAGGCAACGACAAAATACAGAGTTAGCGAAGTTTTCTTGATGTAAACTCAGAACGTTAGCCAATACATGCAATTTCCATTGCTGTCCAGAGGTTTTTCCGAGCTTTGCGAAGTTTTGAGCCAACATTTCGTGGTCCAAAAGTCAAGAAACTTATCTCTATCAAAAAGCAATTTCTCTATTTTCATGTTATACTTTTCACTACATTCCCTACCCATGATACCTTTGTTGCGCGGTGAAGGGAGCCTTGCCGTGCCCTCAAGTCGTCTGGATCTCTAACACCATCGGAATCACTCAGCTCACACAAGTAACCACCATCCTCATTTGGACCAAACTTGTATGATTCACACTTGACTTCAATGAAACATTGTATTTCACAAATCTCGGCTGTCTTTGCTCTCGGTGTGCTGATCGCGTGATTTAGGAGAGCCTTGTTTGCAACTGGCTCTTCAAACTTCTTTTTTATGCATGGAACTATTTAAATTTCACAACACCGTACAACTATCAATTATTGATTTTTTAGAATTGCAAACAATTTCTGGTTTCTTGTATGGATTCTTCATAAAAAGAAACGTTCCGATTTTAGTTAACAGCAAGACAATAACGATTAAAACCCTACATTTCAGTTTGGAACATTTGGGGCACCGACTTTATGAGCCATACTATTTTATGGTGTCTTTATGAATGAAAAAGTTTCGCAATGACTTGACAGCGAGCTCCACTGCGAGACAAGAAGGCTTAATGTAAAAAGACTGGTGCACCGACTTTGTGAAGTTATCAAAAGATCACACATTCAATCATAATTTGGCAAACACCGGCTAGAAAGGGTGATGAAATAAAGATAAAAATATTTTTTTATTTGAGCCATGGGCTTTGCTTTCGAAACTTGTTTATTTTTGATAAAAAGTAATTGTTGTCATTAAAGTTTAGATTAGTTTAGATCAAAATAATTGGCGAAAAACAGTATAGTTTAGCAAACAGTTGCCATTATTTAAATTGAACTAAAAATCTAAAACCTGCATTTATCTTTCAATGAATAAAAAGTATAAAATTATGGTGGACTTAACTGGAACTATAGGAATAAGAAATTGTGTGGAAAAATAAAATCATAATCCTCCTACCTACATCTGAGAGGTCACTCCACAAGAGCCTCTTTAAAACCACGAAAAGAAACATGATACATAACTGAAAACAATTCATGGAATCTAGGACGAACTGCAAGTAACTGAAGGGAAACCTTCTTTGAAGCCATACAGGTTCAACGATTATTCTGTTATTGCCAAAAGGCTGGCTCTATTGTAAAGAATTACCGACAAATTTTGTCTGAGTTATGAGTGGCGGGTCAATTTACACTTAAAGAAAGTTAAGGATATTGATGAATTTTCTTTTGTATTACCAATAATATTTCTGCTAATTAATTTTTGATGGCCTCCCCGCCCCAATGGAGAAGTTTACCTCCATACCAGGATCTACCCGTCAAATAAGAGACTCTATTTTCATTTGAGTTAAACTCGAATTTTAAGATTATGTAAAAGGTAAAACAAACTTTGATGAATATCGCAGCTTTTTTTTTTTTTTTTTTTTTTTTTTTACAACAAAACGCTTTTATCACCATTTCGATGATTCCTCGACACAAGTAAGTTTATATTCTGTCTTTACCTCTTGGAAAGAAATTATTTATCTTTATTAAAATTGTTCAGCCTATCAAATTGATCAAATTTTCTCAAATGTCGTTTTCGACATTTTCTTGCTATTGCTGTCAAAGTTGTATGACATTCATCTTAACACGTTTTCCCACGCTTTGCATTCGACAAGAATTTTATGAGTCTTCTTCTATTTCGTTGCAAACGCTTCCATTCAGACCAATTTTTCTTTAATCTCTATCAAAGTTAACGGCTTCGAAGTTAAGTGTTATTATTCGAATATCCAGTTTATAACAATAATTTTCTTAGAGGTCAGAGCTGGTGTTATCTACTTATCTATTTTGTGAGATTGTATAATTAATGGCGATTACAACCATTATTGATGTTATGCAAAAAAAGGGCGAAGAACAAAAACACAGGCAACAAAGATAACATCACTCCATGCCTGTTTGAGGCATTTTGATACATTTTTGAGTGAAATTTCTCAAGGCTTATAATTAATAGTATCGAAGAATTTTAATAACCTATGCGGCGAAGAACAGAAACGAAACGCAGAAGATTGGCTCGGACTAACCGGAGGTTAGAAATCCGTCACTCATTTCCATGTACCAGAGATCTGCGGCAAATGGACTTCGGACCTGCTTTGTCAATTAGTTGTGAAACTCCTAGACATTACTAAGAGGGCATAGGGTGCAAAGCTGAGCCAGGCAGGTCCGGCAGTCCAAAAGTTTCTGTTTCTTCACTACTACGACGATACGTTCTCTTCCGGGACGGTAGAATTTCCCTGTAATTTGCTGTGTGATCAAATGTGAAGTGATTAACTGAACGGAAATATAAGGGAACGGAACTCAGAAAATTCGCTTGGTCTGATGGGAGGGCAGCTCCTCTTTACAAATCTCCATATACCAGAGATTACGGTCATTGAACTTCGGACTTTTCTCGTCTTTAATGCTTCTACTACTTACGAAGAATGAAACACAAATCAATGGAAATTATCAAGTTAAAGCTATTTGGAGAATTTTGGTTACAATTCTCTAATGAAAATATAAGCCAAATTTTCAGCCGTTTTTTAGTATTATAACTGTTAAGCGAACAATAAATTAGGGGACTTGCTCTCACTTTAATTAATGTTTTGCAATCCTCTCGAATACAAGTCAATATAAATTTTCAATGCAAATGGCGCATGTAGAATCCTGGTTGCAGTTTTCAACTGCTAATCGAAGTTGTAGTCCAAAGGCTCCTATATGATTAAACTCATAAAAACTTTTACATACGTCTACACTTAATTGTTGCTTCGTCGGTATAATTTGTATTAAAAGCCATCAAAAAAATTCAGTTCAATTTAATGCCGGGTGTCATCATAAATACGTATTTACTTGCTGAGGTAGGTTTAGCGGGGGTTTAAGTTCAAATTGTTTCCTTTTCGTTCACTCTTGCACAGACATCACCTTATGCCTTCGTTTTTACTTTCATCACGGTACGTTTCAGTGAGTAATAAAACCCCCTTAAGGTGTACCAATTGACTCCATCAGCAAAAGTGGCATGGGAACCATTGAGGTATAATCCGTTCAGATTGGACCTATGGCAACTTCTGTACCACCAGGCTCCCTTAAAAGATTGGGCGCAGCTGGGTAGGTCATTACGATAATCATTGTCTTGATCTTTTGTAGAAAACTGCATATTGCTGAAATGAAAAAAAGGTGGTTTAAGCTTGTTTCTAACATACTTGAATATGTATTTAAACACCACTTAACGTTTTTGTGCGAATGGAACATCCGGCTTCAGGTTTGAAATCCAATCAAAGCCTGGTAAGATTTTCAGTTTCGTTCGGTGTCAGTATAATAATGAAGTACCATTAATCACAACGTGCTTCCCCTCAGCCGGTAATGGATCATCTCCGTTCTTTGAATGCACTTTAATTGAGTCACCAGCCTTTCTTATGACATCCACTCTTTGGGGATCATGCTTAAAATTTCAATATCAAATTCATAATAAACCTAGTAATTGAGGTAATTTTGGTTTTATCAACGGATTTGTTAATGTAAATTGGCCACCGTAAATATTTACAAAGGTGACGTTCGCCCTTCGTCAGTGGAAACTGGTAATTGAGGGTTTCTTACAGCAATGGATGTAGCATTGCAGTACTAGAGTCACCAGCCCTTCCATTGTATCCTCCAATCGAAAGCCATAGGGTTAGGGTCAGCTAGTATTCGAAAGCAAACACCGAATTTAGATAATATTCTTTTTGCACTTTGTGATTCCGATTTCATTTACCTTAGGGAATGTCTCTCAGCCATAGAGTCACCAGCAGTACCATTGTATCCTCTAATCAAAAGCCGGTACTTGTCGGCCTCGTCTGCCACCTTAAAAGTCGTGTACTCAGCGTAAGTGATGTTCCCTTCAAATTCTTGCAAGTCAACTCTCAGCATGACGTCATCAGAGTCTGTCAAACGGTGTATATTGTCGTTTCCAAGCCAGAACTCACCATTCAGATTTCCAAAGCCGTTTTTGTAGGATTCCCATCCACGATAGAAGTCAACGGAGCCGTCTAAACGTCTCTGAAAAACGGCCCAACCTCCATTGTCCGTATTCATATCACACAATACTTGTATTGGTTTACCGCCATCTGGATTGATGGTGTACACACCACTGGAATTGAGACCATCTTGAAACAACTGAGAGCAACTTCTCGCTTCTGTTGAGAAGAAAATGAGGAGGATTATAAAATAGTTCTTAGAGATAATCAAACAGTAAGACATCTAAACTTACTGCAGGGTTTTCCCGTATAGCCATTGTCACATTTGCATCGTACGCTGCCATCTTTATAGTTCGGAATACAGGTTCCTTTCTCGCCACACTGAAAACTGTCCTCCTCACAAGCACTCTGTAAAGAAAAATTCCATTTACATGAATTATTCTATATTTCAAATAAAAAGGGTTTTTAAAGAGTATGTGTTTCTCAAGTGCTTCTTAAACTTTCTTCGAGTGATTTTTTAAAGAAGAGATTTAAGGAATCGAAATTTTTCGTCGATGAGACGTTTCAAATGGTTTAAGCCGGGTAAAAGAACGCAAAAACGTTCTCGGGCAAGATTGATGTTAAAAATAAGACCAAGGTATGTTATTTAACGCATCAATTGTGTCATCGATCATGGACAACAACATGCAACTTTCTATTGGGACTTCCGCATAGTCCTTATGCAGAGATGCATTAAAACACAGATTCTGAGTAACTTTCGTGAGTGGTAGGGCAGAGAAATAAAAGCATGAATACTCTATGGACAGATGGATACCGATATTTATCCAGACGGTTAAGGGTGACATTGTTTAGTTAGAATAAATTTAGCGACGGGCGCCATGTTATATCCCAAAAGCCTCAGACATTCCCTAAGATATCTTGGACCATATTTGTGGTCAAAACTTGGACATAGCGACAGGCAATTTAGTAACTCTAGCATCATTCGTCTCAAACATCCGCAGAAAAGACCTCGCGAACCTAGTTTCAAATTACGTCTGTACAGGGAATTGTCCGAAGTGTGTTTAGAATTTTAGACATAATTAAAGTTTGTATATAGTTGTATAGGTAGAAATTATTATATTTTAGTCCGTATTTCAAAATATAAATGGAATTCTAGATATGTATATATATATATATATATTGTAACAAGTGATAGCTTATTTTAACTTAACTTAACTTAACTTATTTGTAATTTTATAGGGAGTATCCCCGATTAGTCGGCCTTCGGGCTGACTAGAAGTTTTAGACACTAAATAAAGTTGATTGATTGATTGATAGTGTGTTATGTTAGTCTAAGATCTTTAATTGCATCGTTTGTTCACATCGCTTCTGGCAATTTTGGAACAGATGGATATCGATATTTAAATATTTTTTCAAAATATTCAGGAAAGGTGTCGCATTATTTTCATAGCCCATAGGCTGCCTGTAGTGTGTTTCAAGGATCTTCAATTACATGGTTTGTTTACATCGTGTCTTGCACCGCACAACATTTCGCAAAACGTTTGAGAAATAAGAATCTTCCTCAAAGGGTCAAAGTAGTCACCCTGGATAGAACCTTCAAGAAGGCCCGGTCCAAAATAACTTTTCCTTTCTTTAGCTTGCTTTGCCCACTTTTCCTTTCTTTTGTTTTTCCCAATAAATTATTGGACCTCGTTTTATCAAACATAAATTTTTCAACCCCGCTCAGGTTGCGAAACGACCTTTCTGCGATTCTAATAGGGCTGACAGTAAATTTAGAAGATATTCTGAATAAATTCACCTACAATTTACGATAATAAGAGTCTTTCACCCAGTCAATGGCCATTGCTGTAACATTACGAAAAAGTACCTCAAATACCTTTATTCCTCTGTAAATAAAATCGTTATCTTCAGTAAAGTTAGCAAATCCAGCAAATCGATCAGAGCCGCTTATTTGACACTTGAGTTTCTTTGAATGGGTCATTATGGTTCCAAAGTTGTAAGACTGACATCGCTCTTTACCTAAACACTCTAACTGACAGGAACTTTCCGAATCCACCTCTATCTCTCTAAGGAGGCTTCCTGTCAGCTTTTTCCCCTTTATCTTGTCAGCGAAGTTAACAGCCTTCAAATCTGGCTCTGAGATACGGTTTATGCCGTACACAACGGCACAAAGAAAAAATATTAAACAGAGATGCATGTGTAGTCTCCACCGTCAGAAAGCTTATGATGAAGAGAAATAAACGTTTACCTAATTTCTATCGCTTAACTAGGCTGGCAGGTGCAAAGAAAATTTCCAAAATGAAAACAGTAAGTTAATGAGACTCTATCGTTTGTTCGTTTGTTGAGTGAAGGGCTACCTGACTTGGCGGCCAAAAAGTGTCTCCATGAAGCGCGCGGTCAGAACGATCATGTTACAAAGTTGTGACGTAGAAATTGTGAAGACACGTCGGCAACTATGGTGGAGAAAGGATAAATCGAGAAGAAAAGACCAAAGTATTGCGTGGCCGGAGCGCCAAATGATGTTAGCTACAATGCTGTTACGGCCATTAGACTTCTCGTCCTTATGCTTCCACTACAAGCTGCAAGGAGAATCCAAGCAAATCCCTAATGCCAGAATAGACTACATTTTCAGCCTTTTTTATTAAGGGCCTCCGGGCTGACTAGAAGTTTTAGACACTAAATAAAGTTGATTGATTGATTGATAGTGTGTTATCGCCAGCGTTAATGTAAGATCTTCAATTGCATAGTTTGTTTACATCGCTTCCGGCACTCTTGGGACAGATAAATATCGATATTTAAATATATTCTCAAAAGATTTTGGAAAGGTGTCACATTATTTTCATAGCCCAGAGGCCTCCTGTAGTGTGTTTTCGCCCGATTTCGTCAAGAGTCTTCAATTACATGGTTTGTTTACATCGCGTCTTGCACCGCACAACAAAACGTTTGAGAAATGAGAATCTTCATCATAGGCTCAAAATAGTCACCCTGGATAGAACCTTCGAGAACACCCGGTCCAAAATAATAAAAGATATAGTTTTCCTTTCTTTAGCTTTCTTTGCCCACTTGTCATTTCTTTCGTTTTCCCCAACAAATTATTGGCTCTTGTTTTATCAAACATAAATTTTTCAACCCCGCTGAGGTTGCGAAACGACCTTTCCAACATTTTTAGCCTTTTTTATTATTCTAACGGTTACACGAAGAATAAAAAAAGAAAAGAAAATTAAACAGAGATGCCTGTGTAGTCTTCACCGTCAGAAAGCTTATGATGAAGAAAAATAAACGTTTACCTCATTTCTATCGCTTAACTAGGCCGGCAGGTGTAAAGGAAATTTCCAAAATTAAAACAGTAAGTTAATGAGACTCTATCGTTTGTTGAGTAGGGGGCTACCTGACTTGGCGGCCAAAAAGTGTCTCCATGAAGCTCGCGGTCAGAACGATCATGTTACAAAGTTGTGACGTAGAAATTATGAAGACACGTCGGCAACTATAGTGGAGAAAGGATAAATCGAGAAGAAGAGACGAACGTATTGCGTGACCGGAGCGCCAAATGATGTTAGCTACAATGATGTTACGGCCATTGGACTTCTCGTCCTTATGCTTCCACTACAAGCTGCAGGGAGAATCCTACTAAAGCGTTATTGAAATAGTAGTCTTGAAATACATTTTGCCTCCTGAGTGATTTAGTTAGAAATTTCAAAACGAGTCGAATTTTATCAAAGTTTAAATCAACATGCATTACTGCTCCTAACCAAAGTTTCAGTCTCTAAACATACCTTACATAGGATGTCATTTTCTTAAAGTTCATATTTTGGAATAAATTATTACGACTAAACACAAATGCAAGCCATTCCTTTTCAACAAAAAAGTTGAAGTTAATAAAGCCCTCTAAGTCAGAGAGGTGTGGCAAATCTAAAAACTAGCTAGCTTTTTCACATTGAGGGCCCTAAATTTGCCAAATTGACTATACCAGATATATTCCGGACCTACTACTCTTAACATTAACTACTGTTAGCTTTAATTAAAAATGCTCTACGTCTGTGATGGTACTCCACCATGAAACTGTGAGGCACAGCTTTTAGCACTATTTAGTTATTTTCAATTTGAAGGCTTCATTTTCATCTCGGTACGTTTCAGTGAGTATGAATTTCCTCTGAAAGAATTCCGAGAGACACCATCTGCATACGAATCACTGAATGATCCTCCATGATATAATCCACTGAGGTTAGAATTATGACAATACCTGTACCACCAAGCTCCTTTGTACAACAGTGCACAGTTGTCAACGCTCAAGTCGTTGTCCACATCTTTCGTCGTAAACAACATCTTGCTATAATGAATCGTTCAAACAATTAGGCAATCAATCAGTCATTTAGTCAATTAGAAAATAAGTTTATCACTCAGTCAAATAATCAATCAATAAAACAGGAAATCATCAGTCAATCAGTCTGTCAATCCATCATCAGTCAGTCAAAAATTTATTTAGTCAGCCTCTTAATTACTAAGTCCAAAATCGTTTCAATTACCGGTAATCATCCCACCTCTTAAACAATTAGTCAATTAGTTTATCAATTCTGTATACACATAGGATTTTGGATCATATCTAGTTTCTCTTTGTGGTTACGATCTCATTTACCTTAAGGAATGTCTCCCAGCCATGCAGTCACCAGCGGTACCTCTGTAATCTCTAATCAGAAGCTGATACTTGTAAGCCTCGTCTGCCACCTTAAATGGTAATTTAGTGTTAACAACTGGGTTGAAAACGTAAATTAGCCACCGTAAAGGGTAAAAAAGCTGACGTTTCGAGCGTTAGCCCTTCGTCAGAGCGATTGGCTCTCGCTCTGACGAAGGGCTAACGCTCGAAACGTCAGCTTTTTTACCCTTTACGGTGGCTAATTTACGTTTTCAACCCAGTTGTTAACACTAAATTACCTGCTATACTCTCCCACCGACGCAGTACCACAGTTTCTTTAGAAACTTACCCCTTTATTCATTTGCCACCTTAAATGTCGTGTACTCAGCGTAAGTGATGTTCCCTTCTAAGTCTTCCGAGTCAACTCTCAGTATGACGTCATCAGAGTCTGTCAAATGGTGTGTATTGTCGTTTCCAAGCCAGAACTCACCACTCAGATTTCCAAAGCCGTTTTTGTAGGATTCCCATCCACGATAGAAGTCAACAGAGCCGTCCAAACGTCTCTGAAAAACGGTCCAACTTCCACTTTCCGTTGTCATGTCACACAACACTTGGATTGAATTGCCACCATCTGGATGGATGGTATATACGCCTTTGGAGTTCCAACCGTCTCGAAGCAGTTCGGCGCAGCTTTTTCGTTCTATAGGAGTAGAATAGTAGAAAAAAAGGAGCAAACGAAAAAAAAAACAACAACAACAACAACTAAACAAACAACCTCACTTTATTCATCAATTTGCCAAGTTAAATTTGTAAAAGCATCACGGAACCGAAGTTCTCGGTTCCTTAGGCAAGGAAATCATAGACATTCAGCGAGTCTGCTCAAAATGTAAGGAAATGTTGAAAGTGCTTAACTATTCGGCTCCTAGATGTCTCCCTGAACTTGTCTTTAGAAAGAGTGGCACTACTCAATACAGCCTCAGGGGATCCTCTATCCCACTGCAGTTGCCTTTATTAAAATAGATTCTCTACCTACTGGAGTAGAAATTAATTTATATTTCAACTGGAACCAAAACTCGATAAATATTCGCCTTCACATATAAACCCATCGCCTTTATATCCATCCTTGCACAAACAGCTGTATGACCTCTCAGAATTGTTACATATGGCGTTCACGTGACAGGCATGGTTCCCGTCTGTGCACTCGTCCAAATACACAAAATATCAACCTACCTCCAGCATTACTGATTGTTTGAGTCAACGAAATTTAGTTTTCATGTTCCCCCTCCAACCCGTGATTGATCGGGAGTGTGCCTCATGTTTTAATTTCGATGTGTTACTCATTAATTTAAAATGCTATAAAACTCTTCGAAAAATCTCTCTTTGAAAACTGATGAAGGGAGCGACACAGGATTATGTGGTAAGCAATGCCAAACTTATTACACTCATTCACCTGCCTTCGCACTTGTCTCCAGTAAATCCCGGTGAACAAACGCAGAGATAGGTCTCGTGTTCAAAATCTGAATAACATCGTGAGTTTGGAGGACACTGAGCGGTACCACATGGATTCTTTAATGAAATGCAAAAGAAAATAATACGTGAATTAAACAAAAAGAACCAGCTTGTATTGGTTTTTCGCAAGATGTTCAGAAGACAAAGAGATCTTTACATGAATAAAGGTATCAAATAAAGAAAAGATGGAAATATTTCGTTGTTGATTGGTTAACGTTTCTAATTGAATGTGGAAAATTTTGCAAATATCATCCTACACGCAACCTCTTGGCAGGATAAAAATTTTAGCAGGAACTCACAGTTACTACATTTACATAACGTCTAACATGACCCAATCGGCTCTCCACGCACTGTAATATGACCATAAGTCACTGTCGTAACTTAGTTTTACAACTTGAAGCAGGCAACGACAAAATACAGAGTTAGCGAAGTTTTCTTGATGTAAACTCAGAACGTAAGCCATTCCACACAATTTCCATTGCTGTCAAGAGGTTTTTCCAAGCTTTGTGACGTTTTGAGCCAACATTTTGTGGTCCAAAAATCAAGAAACTCATCTTTATGAAAAAGCAGTTTCTCTATTTTCATGTTATGCTTTTCACTACACCCCCTCCCCATGATACCTTTGTTGCGCGGTGAAGGGAGCCTTGCCGTGCCCTCAAGTCGTCTGGATCTCTAACACCTTCGGAATCACTCAGCTCACACAAGTAACCACCATCCTCATTTGGACCAAAGTTGTATGATTTACACTTGACTTCAATGAAACACTGTATTTCACTAATCTCTGCTGTCTTTGCTCTCGGTGTGCTGATCACGTGATTCAGGAGAGCCTTGTTTGCAACTGGCTCTTCAAACTCCTTTGTTATGCATGGAACTATTTAAATTTCACAACACCGAACAACTATCAATTATTGATTTCTAAGAATTGCAAACAATTTCTGGTTTAAATAAATAAATAAATAGAAAAGTTTCGATTTTAGTCAACAGCGAGACAATAACGATTAAAGTAAAAAAAAGTGACGAAAAACAGTAAAGTTTAGCAAACAGTTGAAATCATTTAAATTAAACTAAAAATCTAAAACCTGCATTTATCTTTCAATGAATAAAAATTATGAAATAATTAACTGAATCTATATACTTAACTGAATCTATATACTTAACTGAATCTATAGAAATAAGAAATTGTGTGGAAAATTAAATCATAATCCTCTTACCTACATCTGCGAGGCCACTCCACAAAAGCCTCTCTAAAACCACGAAAAGAAACATGATACATAACTGAAAACAATTCATGGAATCTAGGATTAACTGCAAGTAACTGAAGCGAAACCGTCTTTGAAGCCCTACAGGTTCAACGAATATTCTGTTATTGCCAAAAGGCTGGCCCTATTGTAATGCATCACCGACAAATTTTGTCTGTGTTATGAGTGGCGTGTTAATTTTCATTTAAATAATGTTTAGGCTACTGATGAAATCTCTTTTGTATTACCAATAATATTTCTGCTAATTAATTTTTGATGACCTCCTCACCCCAATGGAGAACTTTACTCCCATACCAGGTCTTTGAAAAACGAAATAAAAAAATATTTTGAAGTTTTCTCTTCTTGTCACGGACAAACGAAAAAGCAGAAAATCTGAGTCCTCCGTGAAAAATCGAATCTCCAACCGGATTCCGCGCTCCGAAGCTCTACCACTGAGCCTAAAACTCTCTATCATGGGCTAGGTCGTTAACATTTTCACATCTGACACGCGTCCTGCATTAAGCTAAGATCAGCGATGAGCAAATCGTCATGTCCGAAAATGGCACAAGAAAACGACCGTGATAAGAGAAACAGAAGTGTATTCGAAAAGCTTTTGTCAGTCGGGTTGTGTGGATGAAGAACGATGTCTGCCTTACAAATTTAGAACTATAAAGGTGTACCCAGAGAAATTCAAGTGTCAGCTGAGTGCTCTGATCGATTTTCTGGATTTGAAAATTTGACTAAGGATGAGGGTTAACAACACACGTGAAAAAATATGGTAGTTTTTTTTACGTGTGTTAATATAGCCAATCAGCTGTTTGGCCTTTGGCGCCACTCGGTCAGGTTGATGAATTAATGGCAAAGCGATTCACGATTCTCGATACAAGTTGTTTGCCGGAGCTTTCTCGAATTATGGCGGCTAAAACACCAAAAAATCCGTATCGCTGACAGACAATGAGGTTCAAACTTTCCTTGGATATACCAAAAGAAAAACCGAAAGTTACGTATTCAGTGGCTTTGGTGTTAGCATTTCTCTCGGCTGAGAATGAAAATCGACAACTGGAAGATTTGTCACAAGCCGATTTTGGCCGTTTACCTGAAAGACTTCTTCTGACGTTAAGGACAAAGTCAATAAATGAGAATTTTTTAAATTGAAAATTACGACCATTGTTGTTTTTGTAATCATGATTCAACGCATTTTTCCATCTTAGAGTTAGCGCCAACGCACTCTACGAACTTTCGATTCATTTATTTTCATTCATTAATGAAGTCGGCTTTTCTCCTCAGTAAAGGGCTATTGTGTTTATATGATAAACAAAACAATACATGGTTGCTTTAAGATATGGAATTTCTCTTCTCATGTGCAACTCGACAACTCACTCGTTCGCTGCGCTCACTCGTGAGCTATTCCATATCGTGCGCCCATGTATTATTATCTATTTATCAAACGGTGTAAATGAGAGGAGTCGCCTTGGGGCAGAATCTACAAGAAAGCCCGGTCCAAAATAATTGAAGGTAGAGATGTCCTTTTCTCTACTTTACTTTGCCCACTTTTCCTTTCTTTTTTTTTCCAATGAATTTTTGGTACTCGTTTTATCAAACGTAAATTCATCTACCCCGCTGAGGCTGCCAAATGATTTTGTTGACGGTAACTTTTAGATAATAAGGTTATTTTACTAGACAATAATCATCATTGGAGTAGAACGATCGCAACAAGTTTATTGTAATTAATTACCTTTATTTCTCTGTAAATGAAATTTTATCTTCCGTGAAGTTAACGAGTCCAGCTAATCGATCAGAGCCGCTTAGTTGACACTTGATTTTCTTTGAGTGGCCCATTATGGTTCCAAAGTTGTAAGACTGACATCGTTCTTCCTCCACACACTCTAACTAACAGGAACTTTCCGAATCTACCTCCACCTCTCTTATTAGGCTTCCGTTTAGCTTTTTTCCTCTTACATTTTCGGCAAAGTTAACAGCCTTCAGATTTGACTTTGAAAAACGGCTTACGCCGTACACAACAGCACAAAGAAGAAATATTAAGCAGAGATGCATGTGTAGTCTTCACTGTCAGAAGTTTGAGAGGAAGAGAAAGAAACGCATGTTTTTAAATTTCTATTGCTTAAATATACTAGTAGGTGCAAAAATATTGTCCGATTTAAAGCATCGCACGCAATACAATATAGTTTTTTTCAACTATATAAGTGTTAAATTTATTTCTAGATAGCACCAGGTTGGAATGTTCCTCTTTTTTCAGGTCAACCCTATTTTCCCGTGACGAGGATTAATTTATATCTTTCTCAGTACAGTGAGTCTAAATGAAGCGTGAAACAAATTTGTTTACTTTCTATGAAAGCAGCTTAACAAACAGAAACGTAATTGAAATAGTAGTCTTGAAATACGTTTTGCCACCTAGGTGATTCAGTTCGTAATTTCAAGAAGAGTGGAAAGGTATCAAAGGTTAAATCAACGAAATACGTCGGAAAACTACAAAAGGTACGACGTGATGCAAACATAGGTTACGCTTTCGAAAATTTTTAATTACCCGAATCCCTTAGAAGAATTATGTCATTATTCATTAAGTGTTGATAGCTTTGAGGTGAACCTTTCAAATTTTGTAGGTTTTCCCTTTCAGTCAGAAAAAAATTAAGAAAAATCTGAAGAGAACTGTGGCAAGGAAAGTATTCTTCTACACTACTGTGGCGATATCTTTTCGACCGAGAAGGTAAATTTACACTATTTTAGGCGATTAACTGTGATTAACTGCTTGGCTAAACGAACTATGTTGGGAAACTAAACTCATAAAACTTGCTTGTATAACAGGAAAGAGGAAATGGTCTGTTTCCACCGACCAGGGATCTAAATATAGCAACTGGACTCTGGACCAACCGACATACATTTCGTTGGACTTAATTACTTTCGTCTTTATACTTTATTATACTCACGAGTGTAGTTGGTCAATGTAAATAGCCTTAGTACATCGTGCATGTAGAAGTCGAACGTGAACCAGATTTGCAGCTGCAAAGCCATTTTTCGTTTTTCTTTAAAAGGTTACGCAAACAATACGTAAGGCAAGTAAACGATGAATTTTTCACTCGAGTGCAGCTTTCTAAAATATAAATAACAATACGTACACTTGACTTGTCTTCATCTTCTTTATAAAAGCTTTAAATTGCATTAAAGAAATTTACATCAAGTTTGTACCATGTCATCCAAAATAAGAAATGACTGGCTTTCAGCTATTTTACCTCACATCATATGATACGACGAGAAAAGTTACCGGCTGTAGGTAGTAAGGGAGACTGAACGTCCTTGTTTCATCTTTACGGTGTTTATTGGAAATAAATGACAATTGCAAAGCGGTGTTTTATGTTCTGTGAAGTCGTTCACCTACTGGTCACAGGATGGGTATTTGGGCCAAACACAAGGGGTTGGTGAAGAAAATCATCGCTTGCGGATCTTTCTTGAGAGCTTATCGAGCAGTGCCCTGTAGTGTGCGTAACCTGAAACCAAGTGAAGCTGTGGTAGAGCTGTGAGTGAAGCATTTTTTTGTTTTGTTTAAGCTTTTTGTTTCTTCAGGAGGCTCTTCGCCTCTCTTGGTCTCTTTAATATTACCACCTATATCACCCTTTTACATGAAATTATTTACATCAAATCTTCATTGACCTACGCTTTTGTTCCAAACCGTAATTTCAGTCTTTAAACATACCTTACATATAATTTCTATCTCTTAAACTTAATATTTTGGGATAAATTATCACGACTAAACACAAATGCACGGCATTCATTTTCAATAAAAGAGTGGAATTTACTAAAGGTCAGAGAGGTGTGGCACATCTAAAAAACTGATTTTCTCTTCTCACATTGAGGGCCCTAAATTAACCTTTCACTGATTTACGAAACCAAATTGACTTTCAGATTAGACATATTCAAGACCTACTTCTCTTAACATTAACTACTGTTAGCTGTTAGCTTTAATTATAAATGTTCCATATCTGTGATGATAATCCACAGTGAAACTGTTAACCAGAACGTCGAGCAGCATTTACTTATTTTCAATTTGAAGGCCTCATTTTCATCTCGGTACGTTTCAGGGAGTACCAAGCTCCTCTGAAAGAATTCCAAGAGACACCATTTGCAGGCGAATCACTGAATGATCCTCCACGATATAAGCCGTTGAGGTTTGAATAATGACAATCGTTGTACCACCAAGCTCCTTGGAACAACAGAGCACAGTTCTGACCGCTCAAGTCGTTGTCCACATCTTTCGTTGTAAACGACATATTGCTATAATAAATCATTTATTAATTATTAGGCAATCAATCAATCCGTCAATTGATCAGAAAATCAATCAGGCAATAAGTCAATCACTCCGTTAATCGATCAGTCATTTAGTTAATAAGTCAATTAATCTGTCAATTTTTCAGTAAATCAAAAATTTATTCAGTCAGTCTCTGAATCATTAAGTCTAATATCTGTTTCAACTAATCATCCGCCCTAGTGAACAATTTGTCAATCGATATATCAATTCTTCATACTCATATGGTTAGGGTCAGTCAGTAATCGCGGGCAAACACCTGATCTAGATAATATCCCTTCTGCACTTTGTGATTCCGATTTCATTTACCTTAGGGAAAGTCCCTCTGCCATAGAGTCACCAGCAGTACCCTTGTATCCTCCAATCAAAAGCCGGTACTTGTCGGCCTCGTCTGCCACCTTAAAAGTCGTGTACTCAGCGTAGGTGATGTTCCCTTCAAAGTCTTCCAAGTCAACTCTGAGCATGACGTCATCAGAGTCTGCCAAACGATGTATATTGTCGTTTCCAAGCCAGAACTCGCCACTCAGACTTCCAAAGCCGTTTTTGTAGGATTCCCATCCACGATAGAAGTTAACAGAGCCGTCCAAACGTTTCTGAAAAACAGTCCAACCTCCACCTTCCGTTGTCATGTCACATAACACTTGGATCGAATTGCCACCATCTGGATTGATGGTATATACGCCACTGGAATTCCAACCGTCTCGAAGCAGTTCGGCGCAGCTTTTTCGTTCTATAACAGTACAATGGTAGCAAAAAAAACAAAAAATTTACAAAAAATTAAAAACAAACAAACAAACGATACCTCCTCATTTATTTTCATCAATTTGCTAACCTAGGTTTTTTATTTGCCGCCAAGTCAAAGTTGTAAATGTATCAGGCTACGGTAATTTTGTGAATTAGACATTCATAAAAGACAGAGCTGAACACTTTAAGAGCCAATTGAAACCAGTTCGGAAATAGGAGGCTTGAGGCAGATTTGGGATTTAGTAGACATAGCCACTCTATCCACAATGCTCTAGTCAAACGACATTTCGATAACTACTGTAAGGTCTGTGACACCATTGGAAAAGGCTCCTCTGACATAGTAAAAAAGTAGCAAAATAGGTCTGCCAGACTCATGCATGTGAGCAACAATATTCACAAGGCTCTTAGGCTCTTAAACAGTCAGAGAGTTAGCTCAAAATGTCGGGAGTTGTTTAAAGTGCCTAACTGCTCGGCACCAAGATGTCTCGCTGAACTTTTCCTAAGAAAGAGTGGCACTACTCAATACAATCTCAGGGGCTCCTCTATCTCACTGCGGCTACTTTTATTCAAAGAAATATATTACCTATTAGAGTAGATATCACTTTATATTCCAACTGGAACAAAACTCGCTAAATATTCACCTTCACATAGAAACCCATCGCCTTTATATCCATCCTTGCACAGGCAGCTGTATGACCCTTCAGAATTGTTACATATGGCGTTCACGTGACAGGCATGCTTTCCGTCTGTGCACTCGTCCAAATCTACAAAAAATATTAACCTACCTCCATTTCTGATCTCTCTCAAAACCGCAGAAGAAAGTGATCACAGCATCATGAAGTAGATAATGCTAAACTTATTACACTCATTCACCTGATTCACACTTGTCTCCGGTAAATCCCGGTGAGCAAACGCAGAGATAGGTTTCGTGTTCAAAATCTGAATAACATCGTGAGTTTGGAGGACACTGAGCGGTACCACATGGATTCTTTCATAGAATGCAAAAGAAAATAATGCGTAGATTAAACGAAAAGAACCAACTTGTTTTGGTTTTTCGAAAGATATTCAGAAGGCAAACAGATCGCTACATGAATAAAGGTATGTAAGAAAGAAAAGATGACACAAACTTCTTTATTAATTGGTTTAAGTTTCTAATTGGATGTGGAACATGGTCTAAATATCATCGTACACGTAACCCTTGGCAGATTAAACATTTTAGCAATATCTCTCACAGCTACCAAATTTACATAACGTAACCTTGCCCAATCGGCTCTCCACATGCAGGCGCTTCAATATGACCATAAATAACTCTTTGAACCAAGTTTCACAGCTTGAAGCAGGCAACGACAAATTATAGAGTTTTCTTGATGTAATATCAGAAGGTTAGCTATTACATGGAATTTCCATCGCCGTCAAGAGGTTTTTCCGAGTCTTGCGACGTTTTGAGCCAACATTTCGTGGTCCAAAAATCACGAGATTCATCTCTTAATTATCAAAAAGCGATTTCTTTATTTTCATGTTATGCTTTTCACTACACCCCCTCCCCATGATACCTTTGTTGCACGGTGAAGGAAGTCTTGTCGTGCCCTCAAGTCATCTGGATCTCTAACACCATCAGAATCACTCAGCTCGCACAAGTAATCGCCATTCTCATTTGGACCAAAGTTGTATGATTCACACTTGACTTCAATGAAACATTGTATTTCACAACTATCTGCTGTCTTTGCTATCGGTGTGCTGATCACGTGATTTAGGAGAGCCTTGTTTGCAACTTTCTCTTCAAACTCCTTTGTTATGCATGGAACTATTTAAGATTCACAACACCGAACAACTATCAATTATTTATTTCTAAGAATCGGGAACAATTTCTGGTTTCTTGTATGGAGTCTTTATAAGTAGAAACGTTTCGATTTTAGTTGACAGCGAGACAATAATGATCAAAAGCCCACGTTGTAGTTCGGAACATTTGGGGCACCGACTTTATGAGCCATACTATAACGTGGTTTCTCTCTAAACAAAAAAGTTCGCAATGACTTGACAGCGAGCTCCACTGCGGGACAAGATGGCTTTATGTAAAAACACTGGTGCACTGGATTTCTCAAGTTTAAAAAAATCACACGTTTAATCATAATTTGGGAAAAGCCGGTTAGCAAATTTAATGAAATGAAAAAGAAAATATTTTTTATTCGAGCTAAGGCTTTGCTCTCGAAACATTTGGTTTTTTTTATCGAAAGTAATCGTTATCATCAGAGATTAGATTGAGATTGAGATTAGATAAATAGTTGCCATTATTTTATCGGGACTAAAAATCTAAAACCTGTTCTTATCTTTCGATAAATGGGAAATTATCGTCGTCCTAACTGGATCTATGGAAATAAGAAAATGTGTGGAAAAATACAATCATAATCCTCCTACCTACATCTGAGAGGCCACTCCATGAAAGCCTCTCCAAAACCACGAAAAGAAACATGATACATGACTGAAAACAATTCATTGAATCTAGGATGAACTGCAAGTAGCTGAAGGAGACCTTCGCTTTGATTCCCTACAGGGAATACAATGACAATTCTGTTATTTTACAAGGCTGGCTCTATTGTGATGCATTACCGACAAATTTTGTCTGTGTTATGAGTGGCGGGTTAATTTACATTTATAGAATGTTTAGGATAATGATGAATTCTCTTTTGTATTTACAAGCATATTTCTGTTGATTAATTATTAATGACCTCCTCGCCTCACAGGAGAACAAGGTCTTTGAAAAGTTAAAAAACAAAAATATTGGAAAGTCTTCTCTTCCTGTCACGAAAAATTTAATTTGTAGCGGCAAAACATAAACGGTAACCCATGCTATCTTAACATAATTTTCACATTATGTAAATTTAGGGATCACGAATGAAAAATCTCGACAATCCCTCTGATGAACCATTAGAGGATTATCTCTCATTTAAAACAAATGCTGATATTTTCGAATTACATAAATTTGAAAGAGGCGCAGACAGGTTAGGTTAAAGTCAGTTCTTGCCAATTGCTTACGGTGTAAGCTTGGGTCATTTGGCGCAAAGAATAACTCCCGACCTATAATGAAAACATCTTGATTTAATAAATAATTCAAAGGCTTAGATTGAAAACCATAATTTGTATCCAAAATTCTTTAAAATTCTTTGATGTTTATTTAAGAGAGAAGATACAAAATTATAGCAAGATTTAATAATGAAGGAGTCTTTGCTTAAACCACTTTGACCTTGGCCTTCCAAAAGAGTTACCCATATTTTATTTCAATTATCAATATCTACAGTTCTACTAACTGTCAGAAAAAAATCAACTAAGGGTCCTCCCGAGGTACGGACCCCACATTAAAAAGACACATCCTCAATTATATGTTGTTCCACCTGAGAAAAATGTCTGATAAAGCTATTTCGAAAAAAAAAAAAAGAAAAAAAGATCTGAAAACACAAGTACTGAACGTGAAGAGTATACATAGTAAAAGTACGAAAAGAAATGAGTTTACGGAAATCATATATGCCTGAAATCCGATCGAAGTTCTTTTTTTTCGGCTTCCAGACTTCCTCAGATTTTTTTGAGAATTCGAATGAAACAAAAGTGACCTGCGAAAGTTTAGTTTAAGTCTAAATTATAGCATCTCTATGCTTGTAATCTCTTACGCTGAAACCATTCGTTCTGCCTGTAATACGCCGAGCAAGTATTATTTTTTATTATTTTTAAATGCAATCAACGCTCAATCAAAAGTTGCTATACCTGTGAACATTCATCTAGTCACTGGTTGAGCTGAATAGGAGAGGTCTTGTCACGCTCCACTACCGTTGAAATTTTTCTAAAACTTTCATTTTATATCCCCTCGCCCGTATTTCAATGTTGCTTGGTGTTTGCAGAATGAACAGTAATTTTTTGTCAATGTTTTGCAACATTATGTGGGTGAAAGGGGATACTTTCAAATAACTTAATAGAGATAACTGGAAAAATTACTGTGTGTTATGTTAAGTGGAAGGGTTATCAATCTACCACCTTCTATAAAGGGGAGGCGAACCAATTAGTTTTGCCACTCCTCGTAAGTATTAGGGGTAAGATATTTATAGACTTAAATACAAAGCTTTTTGTGCATGAGTATGTTTCCAATGCAAATTAAGCATAGTTTTTATTTTTCAAATTTCGAAGTCCAATAAAAACAGCGGAGAGTGTCTAAAGAGCTTAGAACTCACTCACAGAAAAACAAGAATTAAGGTTTAGAATCGCGATGAAGCAGTGAAATCCCCTCCACTTGAACCAGCTGACTCCATTCGCAAACGTAGGATGTTCACCACGAAGATAAAGATCACTGAAATTGCTTCCCTGGCATCTACTGTTACTGTACCACCAACCTCCATTATACTCCTCGGCGCAGCCGTTTCATTCTTGTCGTTCTCTCTTTTTTCGTGGAAAACTCAACGCCACTAAAAGAAAATGATCAATTAATTATAGGAGAAGCAACGATTGCAACAAATGGTAAAGTTAAAGCTTAGGAAATTATTTCATAATTTTCAACCCTCAAGTCAGAAGTCAGTCTCAATTTTGCCATTCCTTATCGAGTCACCCGAAGTATCATAATTGTATCCTCAAATAAAAAGCCGGAACTTTTCTGCCTTGTCTGCCAGCCGAAAGGTCTCGTCTTCAGTATATTTGATATTCCCTTTAAAATCTTCAAGATCATTTCTGAACATGACATGTCGTTTCCAAGCCAGAACTCGCTGCTCAAATTTCCAAAGCCATTTTTGTGGGATAACCATCCAAGCCAACAGAGCTGTTCAAACATCCCTCAAAAACGGTTCAACCTCCACCATCCGTAATCATGTCACACAACACTTGGATTGGGCTGCCACCATCTGGATTGATGTTTTATACACCACTGGAATTCCAACCGATTCGAAGGATTTCGGTGCAGCTTTTTGGCTATTGAATTAATAAATTTAATCATGATCGGGAACTGATAACATAAGGTACTCAATCATACCTCATTTTACAGATTTCATTTACCTCAGCGAAAATAATCACCAACCGTGCCATGTTATCCTTCAATCAAAAACCGGTACTTATCAGCCTCGTCTACCAAGCGATGTAAGCGATATAAGCGAGAAACTACTGAACATTCTGTAAACAACAAGCAACCTTGAAATGGAGGCGAGGAGGAGATGAATGAAAGCTAGAGGAAATTTTTAAAACGCGGCAGAGCCTTTTTGAGATGAGTCACCCGCCTATCTAGTTACTATATTAATCAACGTAGCATATCTCATTAAAATTTAATTGTTAGAGTTAAAAAACTAACGCAGGCAGAAAGAAAGTTGGTAAATCCCTTAGCAGAATATGTTTGTCTGGGTTTTTCGTCTTCTACAGGAAAACCATGTTGTTGAAAACAGAGAGAAGATTTCAGTACCTTCCTTCAAAATCTTAACGTTAGAACTATATCCTATAGTTGGGAGTGCAGATTCCTTTTTTGCCACGTTGAAAACTGTCCTACCCACAAGCACTCTGTGAAGAAAAAGTCCCTCAATTACCTATCTTGATTCCCTTTATATGAATTATTCTGCAGTTCAAATAAAAGGCCCGATCCGGAGTCGAGCGCACTAACTATGAGGCCACCGCGCTTCCTCGATTGTTGGACATAAGTTACGTGAAAAAATGCTTAAACGACAAGTGAAAAGCTGTGGTTTATGTTCTGTAAATTCGTTCACCCGTTTGCCCCAGGATGGATATTCGCAATCTATCAGATTTATAGTGCTAGTTCCCTGGGCCAATCGCACACACAGCTTTGAGCATCATTTAGTTATTTTCAATTTGAAGACCTTACTTTCATCTCGGTACGTTTCAGTGAGTACAAATGTCCCCTGAAAGAATTCCAAGGGACACCATCTGCATACCAATCATTGAATGATCCTCCATGATATAAGCCGTCGAGGTTAGAACGACAACAAAGCTTTAACCACCAAGCACCTTTGAACCAAAGCGCACAGTTCCTACTGCTCAAGTTGTTGTCCACATCTTTCGTCGTGAAAGACTTATTGCTAAAATAAATCATCCAAACGATAATGCAATCAATCAGTCTGTCAATCAATCAGAAAATCGATCAGGCAATAAGGCAACCTCTCAGTTAATTAATCGGTCAATTAGACAGTCAATAAATCTGTCAATCAGTCAGTCAATTTATCAGTCAATCCAAAATTTGTTTAGCCAATCTCTCAATCATTAAGTGTAATATTGTTCAATTATTCATCCCACCTATGAAACAATTAGTCAATCATTATAATTCTTCATACGCATAGGGTTAGGGTCAGTCAATAATCGAGGGCAAACACCGAATCTAGATAATATTCCTTTGTGATTATCTGAAGAGTACCTAAATGTGCTCTATTTAGGTGATTCTAACAGTTTACTACCTTTAATAACAAAACCAACCAAGCTCACTCATCATACTTCTACTCTGTTTGACCACATTTACACAAACTCTAATACGAGTGTGGGTGCCTGTATTGCGCTGGTTGATGTCTCTGACCATCTACCAGTGTTTTGTATGCTTGATCGACATATATCAGGGTATAAGAGAACATTCTATTTTCGTGATTATAGCAACTTTGACGTGGACCAATATATTAGAGATGTAGATGCGGTCGATTGGATCAACGTAAGTAATGAATCCAATAATATTCACGAGGAAACTGCTAATTGTATAAGTATACTCAAGCAAATTGCAGACAAGCATGCACCTACAGAGAAAGCCTCTCAAAGTAAAAGGAGACAATTGGCTGAACCGTGG